GCTCAGTGAGGGTGGGGGTATATGGTGAGTGGACGCTCAGTGAGGGTGGATGGTGAGTGGACGCTCAGTGAGGGTGGATGCTCAGTGAGGGTGGGGGTATATGGTGAGTGGACGCTCAGTGAGGGTGGGGGGTATATGGTGAGTGGACGCTCAGTGAGGGTGGATGGTGAGTGGACGCTCAGTGAGGGTGGATGGTGAGTGGACGCTCGGTCAGGGTGGGGTGTCAGTAAGCGCTGTCTGATCACGAGATTCCTCGCATTATCTGACGGGTCACATGACAGCTGCTGTGGGCGTGGTTCGCGGAGCACGTGACTCGGTGTTTCCGGGTTCCGGTGTCAGCCAATGAGCTAGCCGGAGCCGGAGCCACAAACATGGAGCCGGACCGGGGGAATCCGTTCGGGGATCTGGATAACCCATTCAAGGTAGGACCGGGACCGCCGCCGGGGGAGAGGGGGGATAGGCAGGGAGGAGCCCGGGAGAGACAGACCGACCGACCGGCAGTAACAGCTCATAGAGCGGCCCGAGCTAACTGTGTCTGTTACTGAGAAACATGTGACAGCCAGGAATACAATATACCGAGAGAGAGAGAGAGAGAGAGAGAGAGAGAGAGAGAGAGACACGGCGATATAGAGAGAGAGAGACACGGCGATATAGAGAGAGAGACAGGGCGATATACAGAGAGAGACACGGCGATATACAGAGAGAGACAGGGCGATATACAGAGAGAGACACGGCGATATACAGAGAGAGACAGGGCGATATACAGAGAGAGACACGGCGATATACAGAGAGAGACAGGGCGATATACAGAGAGAGACAGGGCGATATACAGAGAGAGACAGGGCGATATACAGAGAGAGACAGGGCGATATACAGAGAGAGACAGGGCGATATACAGAGAGAGACAGGCGATATACAGAGAGCGACACGGCGATATACAGAGAGCGACACGGCGATATACAGAGAGAGACAGGGCGATATACAGAGAGAGACAGGGCGATATACAGAGAGAGACAGGGCGATATACAGAGAGAGACACGGCGATATACAGAGAGAGACACGGCGATATACAGAGAGCGACACGGCGATATACAGAGAGAGACAGGGCGATATACAGAGAGAGACAGGGCGATATACAGAGAGAGACAGGGCGATATACAGAGAGAGACAGGGCGATATACAGAGAGAGACAGGGCGATATACAGAGAGAGACAGGGCGATATAGAGAGAGAGACAGGGCGATATAGAGAGAGAGACAGGGCGATATAGAGAGAGAGACAGGGCGATATAGAGAGAGAGACAGGGCGATATAGAGAGAGAGACAGGGCGATATAGAGAGAGAGACAGGGCGATATAGAGAGAGAGACAGGGCGATATAGAGAGAGAGAGAGAGAGACACGGCGATATAGAGAGAGAGAGAGACACGGCGATATAGAGAGAGAGAGAGACACGGCGATATAGAGAGAGAGACACGGCGATATATATAGAGAGAGAGAGACACGGCGATATAGAGAGAGAGAGAGACACGGCGATATAGAGAGAGAGAGAGACACGGCGATATAGAGAGAGAGAGAGACACGGCGATATAGAGAGAGAGAGAGACACGGCGATATAGAGAGAGAGAGACACGGCGATATAGAGAGAGAGAGAGACACGGCGATATACAGAGAGAGAGAGAGACACGGCGATATACAGAGAGAGAGAGAGACACGGCGATATACAGAGAGAGAGAGAGACACGGCGATATACAGAGAGAGAGAGAGACACGGCGATATACAGAGAGAGAGAGAGACACGGCGATATACAGAGAGAGAGAGAGACACGGCGATATACAGAGAGAGAGAGAGACACGGCGATATACAGAGAGAGAGAGACACGACGATATATAGAGAGACACGGCGATATACACAGCGATATATAGAGAGATACATTAATAGATACACGGCGATATATAGTGTGACGGCCAGCGATATGTAGAAATACAGCGAGATATACAGCAACATATAGTTTGACAGCCAGCACTCAACGATATATAGTGATACATTGGTCCTTACGCTCTGCTCAAGATTTACGTCTATCTTCTGTCCGTACTCCCACCTCTGATGCTCGCCTTCAAGATTTCTCGAGGGCTGCACCGTTCCTGTGGAACTCTCTTCCCTCCTCTGTTAGATGCTCACCCAGTCTCCATTCCTTCAAAAAATTGTTAAAAACCCACTTCTTCATAAAAGCGTATCAATTAAACTTTTAATAGCTCCTGACTGATTCCTCTCTTGCAACTGTCACTAGTTTAATACTATCCTTACCTTTTGTGTCACATTACTCCACTCCCTCTAGCGTGTAATATTATTGAGCAGGCCCCTCAACCCTACTGTTCCTGTGTGTCCAACTTGTCTGGTTACAACTACATGTTTGTTCGTCCACCCACTGTAAAGTGCTGCAGAATTTATTTGGCGCTATATAAATAATAACATAATACTACATAGTGATATACAGTAATATATAGTGATATACAGCGATATAAAGTGGGACAGTGAGATATACAGACATACAGTCACATAGCTGAAAAGAGACTTGCGTCCATCAAGTTCAGCCTTCCTCACATATGTTGTTGCTGTTGATCCAAAAGAAGGCAAAAAACCCAGTCTGAAGCGCTTCCAATTTTGCCACAAACTAGGAAAAAGTTCCTTATTGACCTCAAAATATCAGTCAGATGTCTCCTTGGATCAAGCAGCGATTACCCCACTAATTAGAAATTATATCCCTGTATGTTATGTTTTTGCATGTGTTTATACAATTTCAGTTTAAACATCTGTATGGACTCTGACAAAACCACCTCTTCAGGCAGAGAATTCCACATCCTTATTGCTCTTACTGTAAAAAAACCAAAAAAAAAAAAAAACCTTTTCTTTGCCTTAGATGAAATCTCCTTTCTTCCAGCCTAAATGTGTGACCTCGTGTGCTATGTATAGCCCTGTTTATGAATAGATTTCCAGATAAAGGTTTGTACTGGCCCGAATATATTTGTATAAAGTTATCATATCCCCTCTGAGGCGCTGTTTTTCCAAACAAAAGAGATTTAAATTTTTTAACCTTTCTTCATAACTAAAATGCTCCATTCCTTTTATCAATTTTGTAGCTCGTCTCTGCACTTTTTCTAGTGCCATGATATCTTTCTTTAGAACAGGCGCCCAAAATTGCACAGCATATTCAAGGTATGGTCTTACCAGCAATTAATAAAGAGGCAAAATTATATTTTCATCCCGAGAATTTATGCCCCTATTTATACATGACAAATCCTTACTGGCCTTAGCAACTGCAGATTTAAATTGCATATTGCTGCCTAATTTGTTGTCTATATAACAATTCCCAAATCCTTCTCGTGTGTGGTTGTCCCTAATTCACTACCATTTAGGGTCTAAGTTGCTTGTGCATTCTTAACCCCGAAGTGCATAACTTTGCATTTCTCTACGTTAAATTTCATCTGCCATTTGAGTGTCCAGTCCCCCAATTTATCTAAATCCCTCTGCAGCAAAGCAATATCCAGCTCACATTTTATTACTTTACAAAGTTTTGTGTCATCTGCAAACACTGATACATGGCTTTCAATGCCTATTTCAAGATCATTTATAAATATGTTAAATAGAAGCAGTCCCAAAACAGAACCCTGAGGGACACCACTTACCACTTTTGTCCAGTTTGAAAATTTATCATTAATGACCGCTATTTTCATCCTGAGAATTAATGGGACAATCCAAAATATTTAAAAATCAACGTTTAGTAGAATTTTTTTTTTTTTTTTCATTGGAGAGGTATACCTAAAGCTGCTGTAACAAAAGTTACAGATCTCTCGTCTGCAGACTTTACAAACCCTCCCCTTCTAACCCCGCCCAGACATTCTGTGACTGTCCTATCACAGAGTTTCCAATGCAGCTCAATGCATACATAGTGGGACAGTGAGATATACAGCTATACATAGTGTGACAGCGAGATATACAGCTATACATAGTGTGACAGCGAGATATACAGCCATACAAATCGTGACATACGGCCATACATAGCGTGTCAGTGAGATATACGGCCATACATAGCGTGTCAGTGAGATATACGGCCATACATAACCAGCCTGATTATCCACTCAGTGTAACCATAACCCATTGTACAGCACTACGGAATTTGCTTGCACTATATAAATAATAACCGGCCTGAGTGTCCACTCACTGTATCTATAGCTTACTCTCCATAGCCATTCACTGTATTCGTATCCCAGACTGGGGAGCCACTCACTGTATCAATAATCCATCCTCAATATCCCCTCACTGGATAGTCACTCACCGTATCAATACCTCAGCCTGCATAGCCATTCACAAAGTTCTGTGCCCAACTTCAGTATCAACTCATTATATCCTTGGTCTATCTTGGTTATTATGAAAAAAAAAAAAAAGGATTCCTAGCGCTTCCGATAATGATAGTAGTTCTGGTAGAAGGTAAAATCCAAAATGAAGAAAGAGGGTCTCAGCGTCTTGTGAGTGTCTTCTGATCCAGAGGGTGCTCAGTGCATGTAAAAGATCAGGAGATACAATGCAGTGTAGTAGGTACTTCTTCTTGGTGATGGAAATAAAGAAATGCTCCAAAAAACTGTTAAGTGCATTTCTATATTTACTTCAAGTATAAGTACCTACTACACTATATTGTGTCTCCTGCTCTTTTATCAGCACTGAGCACCATTTGGATCAGAAGACTATCTTGGTTATTCACTCACTATTATATTACGCTCTTCTTGAGTGGCCGCTCAGCACACCCTGTGCCCATCCAGAGTTGCCGCTCAGTGTACGCAGCTCCCAACTATTTAGCACCCATGCTAGGTGTCTTCACATTGTACCCATCTCCCCGCCTGATTACCTGCTTTATGTCTCTGCATTGAGCCCTGTGCTGACTTGGAACATAACTCACATTATGTCATGTGCCAGTGCTGCCCCTCGCCTTGCGCTGTATCCTTCACCCCATTTCTTCATGTCTCATGTGTCTGCATGTCTGGTGTTTGGGCATCACTGTTCAGCTGCTAATATTCCTTATATCTTGTGTGATGTCTGCATTTTCCAAGCAGCTTGTTGCAGTAATACCTGGTCTTGCTTATTTCAGGACCCGTCTGTAAGTGTGCACCAGGGCAGCTCCCAGTATGCCACCCTTGATGTGTATAACCCATTCGATAGCAAAGGGGTAAGTTCACTTCTCTGGATTTTCTATGGGCTGGTGAGAGCTGCCTTTTTGCTAAATAACAGAATTCAGCATTATGGAGTATATTCACCTAAGTGCAAATTACAGTGAAATTCAATTAACAATGTAGGCAAAAATAAGTCCCCCCTCCAAACAAAAATCCAACTCTGCCATAGGCTCTGCTTGGATATTTTAGTCTGAAGTTATCTTTTCAGTTTACTGCTTAGCGTAAAAGCCCTCTAAACATTTTTATGGGTTAAACAGATTGTTTTGTATTATCCTTTACATTAATTTCTTGCTGTCTTTATCCAGATTCCTCCGCCTCCCCCTTACCATGAGCAGCCCCCAAGCCAGGCTGCCGCCACCTTGCCTACTGTCCCTGTAAATAACATCCTTCCTCCAGCCATCAAGAAACAGAGTCCGACAGAAACCAAAAACTATGGATCATACGGAACCCAGGTACCAGGACAATCCCTTCCCACCTTATTATCCTGTATGCTCCTCTAATGATAAATATATATCTATATATATTTATATCTATCCACACATTATAGCTAAGCTCGCTCAGTGGTTGTTCCTCCAGCTGTACTAGTAAACTAGTCCATCCATTTGGGTAGTGGTAATATGAGTATTTCAATTGCTGCTTGAAAAGTTGAAAAGTTATTTCTTAAAGGGACATGATAGGTACCCATATCCTTTTTTCATTTCTGTTTAAACATCTATACAGACTCTGTATAATGTTATCATATCCCCTCCGAGGCACATTTTTGCTAAACTAAACATATTTAAATGTGTTAATCTTTGTTCATAGCTAAATCTTTATTCATTTTGTAGACTGCCTGTGCACTAATACGTTAATATCCTTCTTTACAACAAGTTCCACAAACTGCAAGGCATATTCATTCAATGTGTGGTCTTACCAGTGATTTATAAAGTGGCAAAATTATATTTTCTTCCCAAGAATCAATGTCCGTGAATTCTTAAATGTGCCAATTTCTATTGAAACACGCACTATTTGTAAAATGGGGAGAAAAATAAAGAGAATAAACGCTTCACACGCAAAGCACTTCTGCAAACTGAAGAGCACTAGGGATCTGGAGTGTCCCTTTAATTCCCTATTAATGCATGACAATAACGTACTGGCACTAGCAACTGCTGATTGACATTGCACATTTGTTGGTTGACTCAGCCCTTCTTCCTTCCGAGGTAGATACAGTGAGTACCATTAAATTGGGAAATAGTAACAACCCCTGGATGTTGGGTTAAGGCAACATCCCCAGGATGTATGTGAAAACCAGAGTAATTTGAATGTACCTTTCCTGGTTAAATACTTTTATTGTTGTTGCCTAGTTTGTCTATAACAATTCCCAAATCCTTCTCGTTTCTTATCCCTAATTCACTACCGTTCGTGTGTAATGTGTTTGTGCAATCTTTACCCCAAAGGGCATAACTTTGTATTTATCTACATTCAATTTCATCTGAGTGCCCAGTCTATCTAAATTCCTCTGCAGCAAAGTAATATCCTGCTCACATTGTGTTATGTTCACTAGATTTGTGTTATCTGCCAACACTGAAACATGACTTTCATTACATTTAATTAAACCGCAGCAGTAGGCAATTTAGTTTGAGCAGCAGTTTGTCTGATCACCCAGTAGAATTTAACCCAACAAGGCTGCTCAGACAGATTTTTTTTTTTTTTTTCTCACTGTCTGCTGGTTAACTGTTTGTACACTCTTCTCTTTGTGAAGATCTCCAGCAAATAAAGTATGAAAAAAGGGAAATTTCCTTGGGGGAAAAACATAAAACATATTATGTATATACTCTAGTATAAGATGAGTTTTTCAGCACATTTTTTGTCTTATACTCGAGTCAGTGTCTGTATTATGGCAACTTACATTGCCATAATACAGACCAGGACCGCAGGGCTCATTACAAGCCCGGCGGTCCTGTTGGGGGCTGGCAGCAAGCTGTTACCTCTACAGCAGCTCCTGTCAGCTCTCTTCTCCTCCGCGCCGTTCAGTTCCACTGTAAGTCTCGCGAGAGCCGCGGCCGTCAGAGCGTTGCCACGGGTTAACGGCATGGAGGAGAAGGGAGCTGACAGGAGCTGCTGTAGAGGTAACAGCACAGCCCATCCACTGGACCACCAGGGAATAATATAGCCCCCCTCCCTGGCCAGGCAACAAGCAGGGACGGGGGCCAAAAAAAAAAATATTTTTTTAAATAATATTATAAAATAAAAATTTAAGATTAACATTTTTTTTTTATATTAAAATAATAATAAAAATTATAAAAAAGCCCAACCCCCACCAAGGTTACACACTCTGCATCTCACATATACTATTCATTCACACACACACACACGCACACTATTCATTCACACACACACTCTGCATTATATACACACACTGTAAATAAATATTCAATTTAATATAATTTTTGGGAATCTAATTTTATTTAGAAATTTACCAGTAGCTGCTGTATTTCCCACCCTAGTTTTATTCTCGAGTCAATAAGTTTTCCCAGTTTTTTGAGGGTAAAATTAGGGGTCTCAACGTATACTCGAGTATATACGGTAATTAAAAATGCAATACCCGCTTTGTTTATAGTGAATCTGTCATTTTAACGTAACATAAATCAGCCACAATTACATTGAGTAAATCATGTATCACGGAGATTCGTGATGTATTTAGTGCAAGCTTCTGAGATATACTGTATTTCCAATACGGTGCCACCATGTACTCAGCGTTGTGGGTGTTACTCATCTGTAATACCAACCTCGGTCCACCCACTCTTTTCTCGCAGTATCCTTTCACTTGCCCTGCTTGTGTACGCTTCCTCGATCAGGGCAAACTTACTCTGTGACATTGATGCGATGGCTTCTTTGCCAGCATCTAAATGGAGTAACGTTGATCACTCTTGCCTATACCCTCAAACCAGGACTAGCAGCGTCTGCATACCACAGCATATTCACTGCGGTTGCTATGGTTGGGAGAGCAGAATGATCACCTTCTGCTCTCCCTTTGTCTGCCAATTCTTCGTTACAGTGTCTATGTCGAATAAATTGACTGACGGGTGGGAGAAAGACCTATTTTTAATTGGGTTTTTCTCCCAATCTTTAATTTGCAGTGCTCCCTTTAAAATGCCACAATAGTCAGCAGTACCACTTCTTTTTTAGTGTATAGATCATGCACCTGCCGTTTCACTGCTCAATCCCTACCATTTAGGAGTTAAATCACTTTGTTTCTGTTTATGCAGTCCTAGTCACACCTCCCCTGGCTGTGACTGACACACCTTACAGGAGAACAAAATGGTTTCATTTTCAATCAGATGTAACTTACTTTAAAAGTTTTTATCTCCTGCTCTGTAAATTGAACTTTAATCACATACAAGATGTTCTGGCAGAGTCTAACAAGCTATTAACAGTGCAAGAGATAAGGAATTCTAAATTAAACAGAACTTGCAATTAAGGAAGTGTAAACATTAGATGACTCTTTACGGTAAGTGTTTAGAAAAGCTGCAAGGAGTGCCTAAGGCTGCATAAACAAAGTGATTTAATCCCTAAATGGCAGATAATTGAGCAGTGAGACTGCAGGAGTATGACCTATACACCAGAAATGCTCTACAGTCCCTGTCAGGCAACCTCATTACCTGTTGTTAACCCCTTCCATTCCAGCCCCTGTCAGCCAACCTCCCTACCCAATGTTAACCCCTTCCATTCCAGCCCCTGTCAGCCAACTTCCCTACCCAATGTTAACCCCTTTCATTCCAGCCCCTGTCAGCCAACCTCCCTACCCAATGTTAACCCCTTCCATTCCAGTCCCTGTCAGCCAACCTCCCTACCCAATGTTAACCCCTTCCATTCCAGCCCCTGTCAGCCAACCTACCTATCCAATGTTAACCCCTTCCATTCCAGCCCCTTTCAGCCAACTTCTCTGCCCACTGTTAACCTCTTCCCCTCCAGCTCCTGTCAGTCAACCTCACTACCCACTGTTAACCCCGTCCCCTCCAGCTCCTGTCAATCAACCACTATCATCTGGTAACCTCCATCCCTGCATGTCACTGTTATCTGCCATCCTGATCGTAACACAGTAACTGTTATCCACCCATGCCTCTGTTAACCCGTTCCCTGCCAGTCCCTGTTATCCAGCCCAGCCATCTCTCTGGTAACCCTTTCTTGCCAGTCCCCGTTATCGAACCATCTCTCTGGTAACTCCTTCCCTGCCATTACCCGTTATCCACCCATCCCTCTGGTAACCCCTTCCCTGCCAGACCCCGTTATCCACCCATCCCTCTGGTAATCCCTTCCCTGCCAGTCCCTGTTATCCTCCCATACCTCTGGTAACCCCTTCCCTGCCAGTCCACCTTATCGATCCATCCCTCTGTTAACCCGTTCCCTGACAGTCCCTCTTATCCAGCCTAGCCATCTCTCTGGTGACCCCTTTCTTGCAAGTCCCCGTTATCGAACCATCTCTCTGGTAACTCCTTCGCTGCCAGTCCCCGTTATCCTCCCATCCCTCTGGTAATCCCTTCCCTGCCAGTCCCTGTTATCCTCCCATCCCTCTGGTAACCCCTACCCTGCCAGTTATCTGCCCTTTGGTGGTTTGCATTCTGTTAATACTTTCACCTATATTATGGGATTCTAAATTGTAATTGTTGTAACCAGGAGAAGACACCCTTTCTGAATGCTATGTTATTCCATGTTTGCCTAGATTATTATTATTTCTTATTTATTCTTTGTTTTCTGGTAAAGGAATCAACAGCGGCTGCAACAGCAGATTTACTGCGGCGTCAGGAGGAACTAAATAGGAAGGCAGAGGAGTTGGATCGTAGAGAAAGAGAGCTCCAGAGTGCAGCGTTGGGAGGTTCTTCCTGTAAGAGTTGGGTTTTGAAGGAATAAGAAGGTTGTAATTTGCAGGAAAGTTGTCTGCAGCAGAGCCGGGAGGTTCCAAGCTTACTATCTGGGATATTGGCTAAAATTGGAATTTCACATTTTATAGTAAAATAGCCCATTTGGAAAAAAAATAAATTGCTCTGTTTTTGGTTTGAACATGTTGGTCCAAAATGTGAAATTTTCTTTGAATTTATTTTGAACTCGCAGCAATTCTCAATTTAGTAACTAGTAGACTTCATGCTGGGTCGTAATATTCTGTGTGGTCTGTGCTTCTTTTACAGCAAGGCAGAATAACTGGCCCCCTTTGCCCTCCTTCTGCCCGATGAAGCCCTGCTTCTACCAAGATATCGGTGTGGAGATACCACAGGACTTCCAAAAGACAGTGTCCATTATGTACTACCTGTGGCTGTGTAAGTGATATCCTGCCAGGAAACTTCAACTTTGGCTTTGTGTGGTGTCTTTACAAGTGGGCACTACCTGTGGCTGCTTGCTGTACTCTGGCAAACGGACAATTCATGTGGCAATGTGTATGTTCTGCCAGGCTAGGACTGTCTGTAGGTGTGGGGTCATGCCATGCTACTTTACCAGGCTGTGTGTGAGTTTTGAGGTGGTGGTGACGGTAATGGGGAATTGTTCTTCCAGATTCAAGCTTCTTGCCTATGTCCATGTGACTTACTACCTGGTGGGCACTTCCTCTGGTTGTAAGTGTTGTGTCCTTTCTGCATTTATGTGTGTGATCCTGTCATTCTTTGTTGTTGACTGACCAGCTTTGTCTCTGTTGTAGTTAGTGCCGGAACATTGTTTCTGAACTTCGTGGCGTGCCTAGCGTGGTTCTGTGTGGATTCTACCCAAGGCTCTAGTTTCGGCCTTTCCATCCTGTGGACCCTGATGTTTACTCCTTGTTCGTTCCTGTGCTGGTACCGGCCCATCTACAAAGCATTCAGGTGCATATCTATGATTCTATAGCATGTTATGTGTGCATACAGATTGGGCCGAAATCACTCTTATTTATTTTATTTTTTTCTCTTTTTTCTTGTAGGAGTGACAGTTCCTTCAATTTTTTTGTTTTCTTCTTCATCTACTTCGTGCAAGACATCTTGTACGTTCTCCAGGCAATTGGGATCCCTGGCTGGGGCTTCAGGTATATACAAACTGGATGCTTCTTTTGAGGTGGGAAGGTAGGGTATAGTGCATGCAAGGTAAATAACAAGAAAAAGGGGGTACCAACAACTGTATACATTTGTGGCATATGATGTGTGTAGTCACTTGGGCTTCAATGAGGGCTTTATGACATTGTGCTAATTTTTTTCTCTCTTGTATTTCAGCGGCTGGATAGCATCCCTTTCTGTCTTGAGGACGGGAAACGTTGGTGCAGCCGCAGTAATGATCATTGTGGCACTTTTACTCTCTGCTAATGCCGCGCTGGGTATCGTTTTGCTAAAGAGGGTAAGACTTGAGTGTCCCTCTTGGATGGGTGTAGCTTGTATAATCAGGATTACTTTATGGAGTTAATGAATAGCTCACTTATCTTAGACTCCCTCAGACAGGTTACATTTTATCGTCTGTGATGAATCCTTGCGCTCCCTAGCCACTTTCTTAGGTACTCCTTCAGCATATAATTTTTATTACATTTTGTTATGACAAAATGTTTCCCTTCCCATGAGCAGATAATTGATGCTTCCCTTTTTTGCACACCGCTAGTTATTTGTTCAGTGTGACTTCTAGGTAGAGAACCAAGTACATCTGGAGTCATTGGATGCAAGGATGGTATGGCAAACAGTAGACCGTTCTCCACTTATGTCAACAGAAAGACAAGGCTACAGTGGGAATGTGATCACTAAATTTGGAAATTATCACCATGGCTGACAAATCTGTATTTCTGATCTGGAATTCGAAATGTAGAAATACCATGAATCCCTTGTGTCATTGTTTAAGGCTGGTGGTGATGGTATGGGAAAACATGTTATCGGCACACAATAGGTCCTTCCATTTAAATGCAGCCTTAGCCTTCTTGCTGACCATGTGCATCCATTCCAACCCTCTTTCAAATGGCTACTTCCAGCAAGAAGTTGCACCGTGCTACATGTTACTTCTATTTCTACCTATGATCTGAAAGAAGGCAAAAAAAACAGTTTGAAGCTCTTTCCAATTTTGCAACAATCCCCAAAAAAAATCCCTCTTGACCCCAGAATAGCAGTCAGATCTCTCCTTGGGTCAAGAAGCTGTAAACCCATATAATAAATGCTATATCCCTGATTATTATGATTTGTTCATAAATGTATCCAGCCACTGTTTAAAAGTCTGTACAGACTCTGATAAAACCACCTCTTCAGGCAGAGAATTCCACATTATTATTAAATTATTGTTCTTACTGTTAAAACCCTTTCCTACATCTCCTTTCTTCCAGTCTAAATAGGTGACATGGTTTCCCACGTATAGTCCCATTTTTGTATTCACCAAAACACAACTGAGAGTCTGGTTGGTGTTTCCACCTTCCAAACACTTGGTTTGAGTGCAGCGCTATATAGGTGTTTTAAAAGGAAAAAAAAAACATAGCATACACTTACCCCTCAAAGTATGCGGGGGATGTACATAAAAAAAATAGAAAAAAAAGAGTGCTATATTGTATAACAAAAAGTGACTTTTTTTGTACAGTGAGTGAAAATAAACTCACATTTTTTCTAGAGCTTTTTTTGTGGGTATAGGCTCTAAACACTTCAGCTTCTGTGCCTTTAAGGTAGACAACTGTACCTTTCTTGTGTGGTCCACTCCCTATTATTCCTCACAACGGTACATGTAAAGGAAAAAACAAACTGGAAACCTCTGGGTGCAGAATTGTGAGCTTTTGGTATAGAGTAAAAAAAATAGCTGCTCACCTTTTTTAGAGCCTTTTAATAACTACCTCTAAGTTTGCAGGGTGACACTACCCTTTTTGGATCCAAGGTACAATATGGAGATGAAGAAAAGTAGGGTGTAGAATTTATTTATATTTCCTGTATTTAAAATCGAATTCACTTCTTTCCATGGAATCTGTGATGTTAATAGTATTGGTCCCGAATATATTAGTATAATGCTATCCTTTCCCCTCTGAAGGGCCATTTTTCTATTCTAGACAGAATTACATTTGTTAGCCTTTCTTCATAACTAAAATCTTCCGTTCCCCTTATTAATTTTGTAGCCAGCGTCTGCACATTTTCAAGTGTCATAAAAATTGCAAAGCATATTCAAGGTGTGAGCTTACCATTGCTTTATAGAGAGGCAAAATGATATCTTCTTCACAAGAATGAATGGCCCCTTTTAATACATATGACAATACCATAGCAACTCATGATTGACACTGGGCATGGTTGCCTAGTTTGTTAAATATAACCGTGTAACAAAGAATGCATTAACACTAGTTGGTTCTGTGACTACAGTTTAATTCCTAGACCACAGATCTCCCATAATGCCCTGCTCAAACAAGCTTACAATCTATGTCAGACATTGTGTACTCTTTCACGTGTGGCCTATGCTGTGGGACTTCTTTACAGGGTCCTTTCTTTTATCTTTTTTTGTTTTTTTTTCTCTGCCAGGTTCACTCCATTTACCGCCGGACCGGTGCCAGTTTCCAGAAGGCACAGGAGGAATTTGCAGCTGGCGTGTTTTCTAACCCAGCTGTGCGAACCGCGGCTTCCAACGTAGCAGCCGGCGCAGCGCAGAATGCTTTCAAGCCTTAACCAGCGGGCACCTGTCAACGCTCTGGAGTCCTCACTGCCCATTATTTCTGGGTGTGACCTGGAGGAATATACTCCTCATTAACGCCTGCTTTACGTGTCTGTTTTCACATAATGTTTTGAGACCTATAGGTGGAAATGGGTGTAAATAAACACTGTCTTTATATGACGTGCCACCGCGGAATAAGGACAGTCTGTGCAGAACATGCAGCATGTGACCACTTGTACATTGTAAAACTACGCTTACCGAGTGGGGTGCCAGTGGCAAAATCAAATATCAGGGGTGAGGTGGGGGAAGGGAGAAGAGGAATTTACCTGGCGTATGTGCATGTGATGGCTGTGTTCTTGCTATGTGTGTGTCTCCAAGTGTGTACATGTTGGCTTTTAACTCATCGTTTGGATGAATGCTGAAAATGTGCACTTTATGATGATAAATGCTGACTGTACAAGTATGTACAAACTTGTAAACTTATGAAGTACACACAGTAAGAATGCAGTGAGGATGTATGCTGGAAATATTCACACTAAAAGGATGGATACTTGTTTTATGTATACTGTATACTGGCTATCTACACTCTGGGTGTGGATATAATAGATCACTGAGGCCTGTTCTGCAGGACGTGTACAAAGTTCCACATGTACATGTGATTCGTGCTTGAAGGCTTTGGATATGAGGGGTTATTCACACACAGGGGGTTGTATATATGTGAAAGGGGTTGATTGATGCCTGGGCTTCCTTTTTCCAGAATGTTGAGTTGCTAAATGGTTCTTTAGTTTTCACTGGATTCTGTATAATATTTACTAACATTCGTGGTGGGGTGGTATTTGTCAGTAACTAAAAACAGAACTTAATTCCCCAAATGTCATCACACTTATCACTATAACCATGTTTGCTGTGTTTCCCCCTTCTTTGCCTGTGGAGGGGGTTGTCATGTGTCTTAATGGTCTACCACACTATGGGGAGCAATTAAGAATATTGGGGAGGGAGGGACCAGTACATTTCACTCTATTTCTGGGGAGCTATGGGGTACTTGCTCCATGTGGGTGGCTGTGTTTGGATATAGAATTCCACTGTACTTCTAGAGGCACTTTAACCATAGGGTGAGAGCATGTGAGCTTTTCACATGGGGGGTGTGGGGGATTATAGGCGTTGTGTTGGTATCTGCCACGTCTGGAGTGGGATTATGCTTGAATGAATGGAAGAAGGCAGTAGGAGCATTCAATGCTTGGGGATGTTTAATTTATCAAGGGAAGGGGCATGTCATTTAATGGGATTAATGCTTGACAATTGCGGTTACTAGTAACAGCTCACTTTTAAGGAACAAGTCATGTATTGGGTGGGGTGGGAACATCATAGTCTGGTAGAGCATGTAGTGAGGGGGTAAGGCGTAAGTGCTTGAGGAACAGGGTGGGAAGGGATCTCTCCCCCTGAGTTAAAGTGTATTGAAGAGGGCAATGGTTGAAGATTGATCTAGTGGTAGCATCTCGCTCTGGGGAGCATGTATTGAGGTTAATGATGATGTGGGCGCGGGGGGGGGGGTATAGGAACATGTCACTACTGGTAGCTTGTCTCTGAAAGATTTGCATGTTTGTTATGTAGTCTGTGGTTTTCCATGTCTCTCCCACTGTGCTCACAATGCCACATGGGGCATCGAAGAGAACCAGCTCATGCCAAATTAAAGACTTTTATGATGAATATCTGTGAGTTTGCGTATTCTCTTGCATCTCCTGAAAGTGATTGTCTAGATTTTCTGTTCTTGATTCCATAATACTAGTCATTTCGATGCTTGTATTGAACTTGCAGACTTTGTCATTGCTTTTTAAAAATTTTTATTATCAATGTGTAGCATGCAGGAGGTGCTCATGCAAATACTCTTTATTTTATTAATAATTTCGTGTCTATAAATAGGACTTTGGGATCCCATTCCGCCGTAAAAACAAAACCCTGACAAGATTCACTGCAGCAGGAAAAAACCTGCAAAGGATTCTGGAAGACGTATCCATGCTTGGTGCAGTAAAGCAGGGATTCAAGTCAATTAATAATACATGAAGCTTTTGGTTTATTTCCTTTGTGCTGACTGTAACCTGAGTAGATGTACAGGATCTGGCCTAAAATGCTTCCATTAGTGAAGCTGAGTCCTAGGGGAATATATGAGAGGGGGAGGGGGGAGTTTATTAGCTACTCTGCACAGGACGCTTGAGCGCGACCCACCTCATTCACAGATAGTTTCCCAATGCAAAATGATTATTCATCAGGGAAATCTGTCGGTGGTACCCTTACCAATCTATTGAAAGTGTAAGTGCGTGAGCACAGCATTGGGGATTTCTGGTACTTTTATAAACCTTGTGGCTTGAGCTGCATAATGTTAAGTACATGCTATGGGGGTTCTGGGGGGTTGAGAGGCGACTGACTACATTTCCCAGCCTGCCTTGTTGTTGGAAGGAGGGGGTAGGACTGGGCTGTTCACTGCTGCATATCTTAGCAGGCTGCTACTACAGGAAGAGAAAACAGCATCCTTAACTCTTTCTCCATCTACAACCCTCTTTACTGCAGAGAGCAAACATGCGGTCTTATACCTCGTCTGCAATGGTACTCACCTGCACCTTCCTTTACGCATGAAAAGCCTTGCATCCACATCCAACCACCATGCACTCATTCAACCAATTTGCTAGGGGGCAGTATCATGGGTAATTAGTTGATACTCTGACTACCACTTACTGAGTGTTGGGTTTTCTATTTCCATTCTATAACACAGCTCAAACCTACCATTCGTCTGCTTCGTTCATTTTGAAGTACTGGAGATATATTTGAGGCCGGCATGTACCAAAAGGCTTACAAGGAAACCTTTTTCTTTTTATGCTGTGGTGAATGTTTAAAGTCTGCCATGGATTGACGAGAACCATTGGACTTTATACCAGTTGGTTTAGAAGGAATGTTAGCCTTTATACCATTGATTTGTATCATTGGGCTAACTCTACATGTTCTAAGCCTTATGGGGAAAGTAAGCACTCTGATTTTCCCATAATTGGAGAGTCAGTTTGAGTTCTTCTGTAGGCCCCTTGCTTTCTTTGGAATACATCGGATTGACAGATAATCTTTTAGAGGGAAGGGTGAAGGCAAGACCGTTTTTCTGCATCTTCCTTACTGGCTACTCATCTTTAATATTCATCCATTAGTCACCCAAAGTCTGCAATTTCATTTATCTTACAGTGGATCATCCATAAGCCTTAACTTCATTCATGAAATACCACCCAACATTCAATCATCTGGAGTCCATAATTTCATTCATCCAACCACTCCACATTGTCGCCTAGATTTCAGAAGAGGCCAAATTCATTCATCTGGGTCCATCTTTGTCATCTGAACGTCATAACATGGTTGGCAAGCCATTACTTTATGGGTTCATTAATATTCTACAGAAAACTGCTCTGACCATAAATCTTTAATCCACAACTCATTGCGATTTACCCTTAACCTAAAAAACAGAATTGACTTTTAATGAAAATGTATCAATGTCCATTGATCAAGGTCAGTAACATTCGCTAATTGCAGTTTCTCGTTGGATAAATCCCAGCTTGTTCGTCCTGAGGAATGAAGGGTAGTGTGTGTGTGAGTGCAGTATTCCTGGTGGGATTTTATGAGTGTAACACGGCTGGCTCCTAAGTGGAACTGGAGATGCTGTAAGAAACGCTTTGCTGCAGGACGAGTCCTCTTAGTGTCTCCATTATTGAATACAGATAATTATGGGAAGATGGGTTCTTTTACTTCTATATAATGGATATGAAGAAATTTGTCTGCTACATACCCGAGGTAATTCTTCTACCACAACATTTTGGAATCTTTTTTTATTTTTTAATGGGAGGCCATTGGGCATGAGCTTGAAATAGTGTCTTCAGGGGCGAGTCATCGTTCAGCCTCCCCGTGTAAATCTTTAATCACGTCAATGAGAGCTCGGTGCGTGGTTTGGATAATGATTTCATGACGTTTACATGCACATTTTTGGGTTAATATTGCTATCGTTCTATGTTCCATTCCTACGGGGACGTCATGATCTTGACGTAAGCAGGACTGTTTCATAATCCTGAAATTGATGTCTGTCTGTTATTACCAAGTTACTGATGCTGCAAGGTCTCTACGTAATACCCCCTGCTCTTCGGGGCTGGGTGTCTTTTCCTGATGAATACTATCTCTGACACCCTGCTTTTGGACCATCTACTCTCCTCTTTAGGCGTCATGCCTTCACCTACAGATTCCAGTTTTTCTCTGACTGGCCGCACCTCACGGAGCATGTCCCAAGTCCGGCTACACAGAAGCTGGTCACATGTCCTGCTGGTTTTGGGCTTTGTACAGGTAACACTTGGAGTCCTGATCAGTACCTTTAGTTTGGTGGCTGCATCCATCACACCATCTATGAAACTCAAGCACTCATGCCCATCCTGGGCTGGTTTTTCGGTAAGTCACTTTATTGTTGGGCAATATTTGCAGGGGGCAGAGGGATATAGTGTTTGGCAAAAAGAATGGGTTCTGCACCATCAAACTATTAATGGTCATTGCATATCACTATTCTAGTAAGCATCCTAAATATGGCATGAATGGTGACACAAGTTCTCTCTGCTAGGTCCTGATAGATTACGTGTATTTTAACCATTCTAGTGAAATGATTTTGTGTTCCTTTACATGCAAAATTATTTATTATTAATTTATAAAGCACCAACAACTTCTGCAGCGCTGTACAATGGGATAATCAAGCGCATATACGATAGTATGTAAACTGAAGTTCTGAGCTATATTTAAAAGCAGGTGCAATGGTAGCTATTAATGCTTTGCTTCTTTTCTGTATATCTTTCTGATTTAATCTAGAAATAGTCATGTACATGAAGGATTTTTGGTTAAAAAGCTGTAAATGCAGGCTGTTTGGATTCCTTAGAGGGATCTAGTTCATCACAGTATGCTGCAGCAGACTCTCTGGGCACAGGGCAGGATCCCACAGTGTTTCTGGGTACAAGGCCAAATTCGCAGGATATGTCTGGTTGGATTCTCGGGGTGAAAACAGATTCTCAGGATTTCTCGATGCAGAGTGGGGTTGTCTGCATAATACCTACGTACAAGGCAGATTTTGCAGACCTCAATCAGCAGAATCGTGGGTTGCAAGGCTAAATTTGTGTGGTCACTGGGCATAGGGCAGACCAAGGAAATTCTTTGGGTGGCAGTGGTGGGCATCAGGGTGAAATAACTGATTATCAGGATCCTTTAGGTGCAGGACTATATTCTCAGAAAGAAAAGGGTCTTTGGGAACAGGGTCAGATCTGCAAAAGGTTCGAACTGCATGAGCTTTGATTGCTAAAGCTGAATCTGCAGGTTCTTTTGGTCAAAGGCTAGGTCTGTATGGTATCTGGATCTAGAGCTGGAGCAGGGCATGATATGTAGGATAGCAGGGCATGATATGTAGGGTATTTGGAAACTAATCTGGGCTTATGCAGAACTGGATGTGCACTCTTAAGACAGTTTGAAATGCCTGTGTATAGGGGTATGAGCTGAGTTTGAAAGGGAGGTTTTTGGGCTGATCACCTGGGTCCAATCAGAGTTAGAATGCCAGGACAAATGCACCAGATCTCAAGGTGCACTACTGGAATGAGGGAATGTTTTGGAGTAGGGTCAGACCACAGGTTCTCTGGGTTTATGGTTAGGTTCTCAGAATCATTTAGTGTATCTTCAGATCTTAGTGGTCTTTGGGTTCAGGGCCAAATAAGCAGGCCCAGATGAACATGACTCTGTGTCCAAAAGTGTGCAAAAATATGCATTTACTAAAATATTTGCAAAGCTCTAAAAACGTACTTTTCATTAGCTGCAGAACTGGCTTCTGCAGCTCATGAAGACCCACCCTCCTTTTTATCCAACACTTACTTCCTTGTAAGTGCTGGGCATTGTCCAATAAAATGCTTCTCACTTACTAGCATGGAGGGCAAATCTCCAGTCCATAACTTCTCATAGAGATGGGTGATTTTATTGAGATTCACACTATAGGGCTCTGTAAGTGCAAGAGCCATTTTTAATGGCAGATATTAATGGCAGTAGTAGGGCAGATTGTCAGTGCGGAATAGATACTCAAAGTCTCTGGGTTCTGAGTCTGGTCTCCTGCTCTCCTGGAACCCCAGTGCCAAAACCATATTGTGCTTGGCAGCTAGGACAAATCTTCATGGATTTTTAACCCCTTAAGGACACATGACGGAAATATTCCATCATGATTCCCTTTTATTTCTGAAGTGTCCTTAGAGGGTTAAATATGGCCCTGGTGCTGAAGGTCTGTGGTTGCAGGGCCAGACCACAGAGTCCCCAGGTTTGTGGTTAGACCTTCAGGATGTATGTGGACAGATCTGGATCCACATGGGAGCCTGTAGACAAATGTGGATCCATAGGGTCTCTGTGGGCAAGGGAAGAGACCTGTAAGGTTTCCAACTTGAGGACTGGATTGGCTCCACAGGTTCACTAAGGGTGAGGCCAGATCTGTTGGCATACTTGCAGTTGGCCTGGGTTACCAAAATGCAAGAACAGATTCTCCAGATCCATGACCAGATCTTCAAGACCTATAACTATGGACTTTGTGTGCCTGGTAAAAGGCTGAAGGGCCACATCTACATGGTTCAGTGAATGCAGATTCAGATCTGTAGGGTCTTTGGGAGTAGGGACAGATTGACAAGGTATCTGCAGGATTCCCTAGGCCTCCGTTTTCAAGGCTGGATACACCGCTTCTAACAGGGTTATTCACTAATGTGAAATCAAAGTGCCTTTCAAATTTAAGTCCAAGGGAAATTAACTGGAAGCATATCTGTCTTGGAGATGTTTTTCCATTTGGCCAATTTTGGCTTTAAACTTGAAATTCAACTTGTATTCAGGGCTCTTCTCTAGACTTGTTTCACTTGGGGAGAAGGGCCAATATTATGTTAATTCTGTAGATGAAATATGACGTAGCGATTGTTTTTGAACTATTTTCTTACTTTTGTTTTATCCTCCGTTTTCACTCATTATCCGTCCCTTAATCCATTGTTCCTCTATTTCCCCAAAATATTCCTTGCTCCCATATCCCTGCCCTGCCTCCCTTCCGGGTTCTATCTCTTTCACTCCCCATGCGTTATCTACCCCTCTTTCTTTCTTGCTGTTCAGTTGGCGGTGTCAGGGCTGATCGGATGCATCTCATGGAAGAGGCCATTCACAATGGTGGTAAGTCTAATATTTTCCATATAACAGAAATAATATAAAGTGCACAGCATGCTGTAAAGTATATAGATCCCATGTGTTAAGAAAAACTGGCATGCTGTAATCGACATATGTGACTTTAGTTAGTTCATGTTATGGGGGTCCAGCAGCATTTCCATTGGATGAGGCGGTATCTCCCTCTCCTGTATTACCAGGGGAATACTTTTATATCTGATTTCAGGGAAAAACTGCGTCCAAAAGTGTGCAAAAATATGCTTTTTCTAAAATATTTGCAAAGCTCTAAAAACGTACTTTTCATTAGCTGCAGAACTGGCTTCTGCAGCTCATGAAGACCCACCCTCCTTTTTATCCAACACTTACTTCCTTCCAAGTGCTGGGCATTGTCCAATAAAATGCTTCTCACTTACTAGCATGGAGGGCAAATCTCCAGTCCATAATTTCTCATAGAGATGGGTGATTTTATTGAGATTCACACTATAGGGCTCTGTAAGTGCAAGAGCCATTTTTAGGTATTACATTTTGTGTTCATTAAAATTATGACTTGCTATATAATGCTATAGTGAACCACAGTTCTCATTAGACTTGGCCAACCGCTGGATGAGATTGGATTTATATTGTGCAAAAGCTATTTAGCAAGTGTTTTCTTTACTATCCCATTACCCGCCAGCTTCAGCTAGAATCTTATATTGAACATGACGGCAGTTCTAGTCCAGTAGGGACAGACCGTGTCAGTTCTTGAATTTCGTTTAGTATTTTGGAAGCAGCAAAACGATCTTAGTGACTTTGACAAGGGCCAAATAGTGATGGCTAGACGGATGGGTCAGAGCATTTACAAAACCGCAAGTTTTGGGGCGAATTCCTGGTATGCACTGGTTACTACCTATCAAAAGTGGTGCAAGGAAGTACAAACGGTGAACCGGCGTCAAGGTCTTGGGTGCCTAAGATTCATTGATGCAAATAGGGAGTGAAAGCTAGCCCGACTGGTCCAATCAGACAGAAAAGCTACCTTAGCTCAAATAAAACACTTTATTAGCTCAAATGAAACACAAATGCTGGCAGTGATTAGAAATGTGTAAGAACACACAGTGTATTGCAGTTTGCTGTGGATGGTTCTGCATAGCCTCAGACCGATCAGAGCACCCACATTGACCCATGTCCACTGCCGAAAGCAACTTCAATGTGGACGTGAGAATTAGAACTGGACCATGGAGCAATGGAAGAAGGTTGCCTGGACTGATGAATCACATTTTCTTGTAGATTAGGTGGATAACCAGGTGCATGTGCATCGTTACATGGGGAAGAGATGCAGCTCCAGGCCCAGGTCCATGGAATAGGCCATTTAAAAAAATATATATATTTTTTTGTTTTTTTACACACTACTCTTAGGTTTGCCATCTGACTGGTATTTTAAGGCACATCCAGTATTTACGCCTGCCTGGCCATGACGGTATTGCAGTAATACTGGCAATACAAATGCAAATATTTTTCTCAGTATAAACAGAGATTACTCTGCAATACCAGCACTGGCCAGTAGGGGAGAGAGGCAGGGATAGGAAGTTACAGCATCTCCCTGCCTCTCTCTACTCACTGATCCGTGGGGGAGCAGTTACAAAGCACAGAGTCCAGACAGCAGCTTCCAGCCTGCAGAGACAGACTACAGCTCAGATATGTGAGGGATAGGGGGAAAGACAGCAGGGAGACATGGGGACACTGAAACACTAGGGGACACTGGGAGATGTTGGGACACTGAGACACTTGGGACACTGGGAAACATGGGGACACAGACACTAGGGGACATTGTGAGACATGGGGACACAGTGTCTCCATGTCTCCCAGCCAGTGTCTCTAGTGTCTGTGTCCCCATGTCTCCTTGGGTCACCTAGTCTCCCTGTTTCCCCATGTCTCCGAGTGTCCCCAAATGTTTGTGTCCCTATGTCTCCCAGTGTCCTCAAATGTCTATGTCCACAAGTGCCCCCATGTCTTCCAGTTTCCCCAAGTGTCTGTGGCCCCATGTCTCCCAGTGTCTGTGTCCCTAGTGTCTGCGACATGGGGACACTGACACTGTGATACATAGGGACACTAATGCCAGGCTGGCCTTCCAATTCTTTGGACAGACATACCCCCTTTTTGGGCATGTTCACCCCTTGTGGCAGTTCTGGTCACGTGATTTGCATCAGTGGCCCACCTTTTTACCCCACCCATTGACTTCCTGCTTCACTGGAAACTGCTGTTAGTGGGTATGGATTTACTTGAAAGATGAAAGCATTACTTAGATGAAAAGATTAGCATAGAGTATGTGTTTTCATATAGCTGCATCCTTTGAGTTTCCCTCCAACACCATCTCCATCAGATACACGACGCTTGAGAGGTAGGACTGTTTTAGTGTTTTTAGCCGATAAGATTCGGTAATCAGGCCCATCATAATTGTCAGCACCAGGCCCACTGTGCTCTTAATCTGGCCCTGATCGGATTGGGCATCTAGGAGATATGCTGAAACAACAAATCCAATCCACGAAGGCCCTACCTTGTGACTTGCAGGATATGCTGCTAATGTCCTGGTGCTTGATAACACATTCAGAGGTCATCTGGAGTCGAGGCCTTGATGAATTAGAGTTGTTTTGGCATCATGAGGTGAACCTACACAATATTAGGCATGTAGTTTAAATGTTGTAGCTGATCATGTGTATATACAAAATACACAAGGGATCAACATGCTCACAGTTTTAAATCTTACGAGGCTATTTGAAATTGCCTATCTTAGCAAATAAATATGGAGACTTGGACACATCATATGTCCATCCTGTTTTAAAGTATCCCTAGGTCCTATACGATTCTTAACATTGGGAACAAACATGCTATGAACATGTAGTGTTCTAAGAGTATGTTTTTGTGTGTGCATTGTACCATTAATGTGTTCCAGACATGTTTGAATAAAATGGGCTAGCATATCTGTCATCTCTGCTGGAAAAAGTACTTACAAGATGGCTTGACTGGGGCTTTTTTTAATATGAAATTTTATAAATGGAGGACATTTTGGACTTGCTGACATGGCGTGTTTTTATCTGTTCTTGCTGTGCAGCATTTGTCAGAGTTTTGTGACAAGCCTTCTCCGTGACCCTATTTTCTGCTTCCAGATCACACCATTCACACTGGTGACAGCTTTGTGTGTCATGCTTAGCCTTGCGGGCTCCATATTGTCGTGTCAGAACGCGCAGCTGGTGAAATCATTTGACGCCTGCAAGAAGGTAAGCCGTAGAGAGTCACGTAATGCAAACCCAGCAGCATAACTGCTCCCTCATGTCCTTATCTTATCTAACTTCAAATTCTGCTGTAATTAGAACGATTGGCCCAAGGGCGACAATCTCTTATACCAGTTGTAATTATTTTTTTTATTTTTTTTTTTCTTCCGAGGAGAAAAACTGGTGTGTTTGCTGCCACCTGCTGTCAGAATATCAGATTCAATCTTCTTGTAATGAAGATTTAGAAAAACTGACCATGTACCCAAATTCCGACTGTGGCAGTATCCGCACCGCATTGAAGGTAATGCCCTATAATATGCACACTGATCAATTGTAGCGTACAGTGGCTGCAGGTAGAGGCTCACATCATGACCTCCTTGTTTAATGTGAAGCAGTGCTTAAGGGACCCTCTAAGCACCAAAACAACTTTAGCTTGATGAAGTGTATTTGCTGTATCAAGGGTCAGCAGCTTATGGTGCACAAGGTGCCTTCATAATGCACACAAGCAGTCAACCCGATTGGCTGGGGAGGTGTGAGGATCTCCCTTGAAGCTGACCTTCCTAATAGGACTTTTTCCTTTAGTTGCTAGTGCCTGATCGCAGCGGACGGTAACGGGCAAACCTTAATTCACTCATGGCAACACTGGGTGGACGTGATCTCAAATCTACGGTGTACAATGATTCCTCCATTAGCACATAGATCATTATGTCAGCATTTCTCTTAAACATCTGTCTCCCTGAACCTCAGAATGTAGGTGGCCTTCTATTTAATAACCTGTGAGCTATGACAATTTGGTGTGTATTATGTAATGTATTGCTTAGAACATTACATAGTTATGTACATTCTGCTGAGCTTATAATGGAACTCTAAATTAAACTCTCCTCCCATTATGAGAATCTACTCCCATCATGTTATGGGGCTTAACATGTCCTATGAGAGGCACAGGATGCTTAAGGAGTCATAAATGTCCTAGGCTGACATTCTTTGTCTTCAGGAGACGCACTTCCCCCAAAATAAGATTGTACACTTTGGAATTAAACCTTTTCTTATACAATATCACTCTGCTCACATGTCTAAGTAGAGAGGGGTGTCTGTTTACATCCACAAACCTGTAGCATTTGAGTTACTCCATAAGATAACTGATTTGCAAGGTAGCTATCTCATATTAGTGTGTCTTTTGAGTTATGTTGTATATACTTTGGTTAATGTTTATGCATTACTAGGCTGGTGGATATACAGAAGGGCATCGACATCATTTGTGGTGATTTAAGTGAAATCCTTGACCCACAAACTGATACTTCATTACTACGAAGCTCGCCTAGGTTTAAGCTGCTCAAATCTCAATTTTAACCCGCTAGCTACGTTGTTTCTACACCTTAACCGTACATATGGCGGATGTTGCATCCTGATGAGCGATCTTACTCTTATTATTTCTTATTGCACCATTCTCTTATTTTTTTTAAAAAAACCCATTTTTTATCGTTATTGAAAATACTTAACATCTCATGCAAAGGATTATTTTTTTTTTTAACATATAAAAAAACAGAAAAATTAAATGGGTAGATAAATAGCATAAATACAAGTATACTCGAGCATCCATATGGTCATTTTAAAGGGAGAGGAAAGAGGAAAAAAAATAGGCAAAAAGAAAGAGAGATGTTCGCGATCCAAGGATCTCCATCTCCATTTTACAGTGATTCAAGATTTGATGTCTTATCATATCCCCAAGGGGGAATGTCTCGACGTTTCCAGTATCTAGCCAATAGTGCTTTAGGTTCTACTAGGATAAGTACCACTAGATCTTTTTTACGTGAAGATAACATGGGCCACCCAATGTGTAATGGTGTAATACCATCGATCTGCATGAAAAATCTAAATGTACATCTAACTGATCTTTGCAGAATTTCGCTACTTTATTCCACAGTTGGGTTATTTTCGGGCATGACCACCATACATGAACATAATCTGCCCTGGTAGAGCCACATCTCCAACATGTATGTTGTATAGAGGGGTACATTTTGACCAGTTTAGTAGGGACATAATGCCATCTGTTAACGATTTTATAACGACTTTCTATTAAATTAAGGCAATGTATTGCCTTGGCTACAACATTATTTGCTTTGATCCATTCTTTTCTTGTCGTGGTAATCTGTAGATTTTTTTCCCATGCTTCTAAGGCAGGAAATTCTGGCGTAGTCTTATATATATCATATCGTTTTGCACATATTCATACAAAATTTTTGTTGCTTTTATTATTTAATATATTAATAAAAAATGGTAGTACTTCTGATATCTCTGTAATGTTATGTTTATTTATTGGTGCACCATTCTCATTCTAGAATTGATGTTTTATTGATTAGCTCCTTGTTGTAAAGTCATGTGAGCTAGGGGACATTATTAGGGTTGCATAAACAGAAATATATTGATTTATCTCTTAAATGGCAGAAAATTGAGCAATGAGATAGTGAGCGTGATCTATACACCAAAACTGCTCCGTTTAGATAAAGCTGTTTTGGTTACTATATAGTGTGCATTTTTATTTTAAACTCAATTGGGTTCTGCATGTAAGAGTAATTTCAGCACTTAGTTATATGGAGACTAAAGATGTTTAAGGTATTAGGCCATTTAACCTCTACAATTGTCAAAGGGATACATAACCAAATGGAAATAAGTGGTGATGGTTTTCATATCTAATAATGGATTTAGTGCACTGTAATGGTTACTTCCAAGTGTCCCTTCCTACTCCTCATATTTCCCATCAGTGGTGTACACACAACCCATGGGGCCCCGGTGCGAATACTGATCCATGGACCACCTCCATGCAGATACACATTCACTTAAAGGACCACTACAGACACCCAGATCACTTCAGCTCAATGAAGTGGTCTGGGTGCTAGGTCCCTCTAGTTTTAACCCTGCAGCTGAAAACATAGCAGTTTCAGTGAAACGGCTATGTTTCACTGAGCATTAATCCAGCCTCTAGTGGCTGTCTCATTGACAGCCGCTAGATGAGCTTCCACGATTCTCACTGTGAAAATCACAGTGAGAAGACGCTGAACGTCAATAGGAAAGCATTGAGTAATGCTTTCCAATGGGCGGTTTGAATGCGCACGCGGCTCTTGCCACACATGCGCATTCGGAGCTGAGAGGCGGATCGGGGCGGAGAGATCCCCAGCGCCAAGGGAGTCCGGCGCTGGAGAAAGGTAAGTGCTTAAGACACACACTCTCACGAACAGACGCATACACACTAGCTAACAGACACACACACTCAGTGACACATACACACACACACTTACTGACAGACAGACACTCACTTACAAAACACACACACACTAACAGACGCACACAAACTAAAACTCTCAGTAACTCACTGACACACTCTAACACACACAAACTAACACACACACACACACACTCACACACACTCTAACACACACACACACATTTTAGATGACATCATATTCCGGCTCCGGTATCAGTGCGGTGCGCGAGGGAGCTGAAGAGGGAGCACACAGGGGAGAGTGCTCCCTCGCGTGCCCGCTAGCCTGCCTGCCGGTGACACCAGGGCCAGCCGGCTCCTGGGCACCCCAGGAGAAAAGGCTGGCCACAGTGGGTACACACTGGGTCGCAGGGCGGCCGGGCCCCCTGGTGGGCCAGGCCCAGTCACAGCTGGGACCCCGGTATGTACGCCACTGTTTCCCATTATAATGGATCACCTAGCACCCCGACTGGGTACCTCCGTTGATGGATGCTCCTAGTGCTTCCCGAGGGCTCCAAGCACTCCACTTGACACCATAAGCAATGCAGACCCCACGAACTGCTGCAGCTTAGTTGGGGTCTCGCTGTCTCCTACCCACCCTGGACCTACGACAAGGCTCCAGATTCCAGTGGGTGAACCTCTCTTTCTCCAGAGAGTGAAGGAGGAACAACCTCTTACAGGAGCTTAGTGATTACTCAAGGGAGTATGCAGAGCATGGCAATCCCTTGTAGCAGATTCCCCCAATAATAGACCGGACTCTAAATTGAGGGTGAAGTAGAACTGGTTTAATGAGCACACAGGACTTTCTTATATACACATTTTCCCACAAGGTTACCACCCACGTGGACCTTGTGGTACACCGGACACAAAGTTACAACAGCCAATCAACACAGTACAGTACAGTCAGACACTCCCAGCTAAGGCACACAAACCCTCCCCTCTGCCTGTAATATAATTAATAAACACAATGGGCTAACTTAATTATTACAGGCAGAAAATATACAGTTTTACCCAAAACACAGAAACACCACAAAACTACAACATATCCACACAAATCATACATCCCTGGATAGCTCTGATGTGGGCGAACAACATATCCAAAAATCACCCAGATCAGAGCAAGGGTTCAGGAAATTCTTGGAAGTCATATTTGAACGACTGCAAGCATGGCTTTCATGCCCAAAACAGTTCCACAGATTTAGGATGTGCGGCCAGTCTATCTTCTCCTCTATCCTGGAGATAATTGGCTTAAGTAGCTGTGGTAAGCCAATTATCTCCAGGTACAGGAAATATCTCCAAGTCCAAAAACTGTTACAAAAATCACATAAAAATACATATATCCTATATATCCAACATATCCCCAGATAGCTTGGATCTGAGCGCTCAATATGTCTGAAAAGCACTCAGATCTCACGAATATAGTTGGATCGCCATGGGGTTAAACAATAGCAAGGGCTGATGAGAGATTGAGGAGGGACAAAGCAGCCAGTTTCAACTGGTCTGGCAGTGTTCCTGGGACAACACCCTGCTGGAGAACAATAGGACAGGAAAAAGGGGGAGGGGAATAGGCACATTTTCCCATGGAATTAACGGGGCAGAAAAAGTGTTTTTAAAAATCCAATAAGCTCAAATAGCCATTTTAAATGGCAATACACCCCAGGGGCCATAGTCATAGGGCAGGAGGCTAGCAAGCAGGCCCCTCCAAAAACTCATGGCAAACTCCCTTAAAAAGGGGAGTTTGTCACACCCATCATTTATCTCTATTAGCATACCTACTATTCTCAGCCATAACTCATAAATACTTCAAAATAGGTCTTTAATATGGGAGTTTTTTTTATAGCGCATCTATCTTTGTGTGTACCTATGAGTGATCTTTCACATCCTTGTTCCATGATATTGTCACTGCATCACTTTCACAAATACTCTGTTTATGCATATTTGTTTTCTGCCCAAAGACCAATAAAAAATGAAAAAAATAAAATTGCTTCATTAATCTAAAGTTGTTTAGGTGCGTTGGAGCAGTGTCCGCACAACAGATCGTGACCAACATCTGCTGTAAAGGTTATTGGTAGCACACAACCTCAGGACAGTCCTGAGGTTAGAGATATCCTACGCTGTTATCAGTAGTTTAAGTGCAATTATTACGGTTTATTTTTATGTCTATAATTCTTCTACATTTCTTTGTATTTAAGCCTCTCTTACTGAATGTTTGTCTTGCCTCTCCCCGCAGTCTTCATCCTTACCTCCAAGGAAGCCCCCTTCACTTGGTGGTATGTTCAAATCTAACTCTCCCTCTCTGTATGTCTTAGGACCTCTTATTCAGTGTTTGTGGCCTCACCATCCTTTCAACCATCATCTGCACATTGTCAGCTGTCATCTGCTGCATTCAGCTCTTCTCATTGGATGTGATCCATGTCGTAAGTTCTGTACCATGCGTGCAGACAACAATCATCTCCTTCTATGAACTCCATTGTTTACACGCACATATATATATTTTTTCACACTCTTCCCTTTGCTCTCCTTAGTTGGCACCACAGAGATCCACGTCTATGAACCTGGATTGTCTCTCACCCCAGGACACCATACTACAAAGTATGATTGAGTGTGAGGAGTTTGTACCTCCTGTCCCACCACCACCATACTATCCACCTGAGTACACCTGCAGCTCAGAAACTGACGCTCAGAGGTAAGAGTCAAAATCACAGTAAGATGCTAATCTTGTTGCAATCTACCATGTGACCCTGCTATTTTCCTCTTTCAGTATTACATACAATGGGTCTATGGATAGTCCAATTCCTTTGTACCCCACAGACTTCCCGCCTTCCTACGAAAGTGTCATGGGTATCCGAGAGGACAGTCAGGTACAGTATTGTTACATTGTGTCATGTTTGTCAATGGTTCTCAAACCAAATCTCAAAGAACATGAACAGTCCAACTGTGTAAAGAAAATGGTGGTTATAGGCTCTTATTTGTAAATAGATTTAATTTAGCTACTCAAAATAAATAAATAAAATATAGCACTTGCATGCTCTTCTTGCTTTCGATATTTTATCTCTTGTTTGTGCATTTCCTAATTCCGTTCCAATGGGGATACTGACAAAATTTGGGGTCTGGGTTAAGGAGCATGGTTGTGTGTAATCACTCTGCCTTTTATGATATTTTAGAATTAAGTCAACTTTTTTCCATAGGCCACATTGTTTGATCCTCAGGTGAATGAGATCTCCTGTCCTAGTTTGTCTGAGAGAATCGACTCTACGGGTAACAGCTGCAATGGTGAGTGACTGTGTAGAATTTGGTCCGACGGGCTTTTGTCTGTGTCTAATGCTGCTCCTTGTTTGAGTCCATTTAGGATACAATAGTTTTACACCCCACCTCCTATAGACTGTAAGCTCGTTTGAGCAGGGTCCTCACCAACCTATCGTTCCTGTAAGTTTTCTTATAATTGTCCTATTTATAGTTAAATCCCCCTTTCATAACATTGTAAAGCGCTACGGAATCTGTTGGCTCTATATTAATGGCAATAATAATAATAATAATAGTTGTGTTCTTGTATGCATTTTGGTTGTAGAAGGCAAGTAAGAAATACCTTTTGTATGCAGAATCTTATAGTCTATTTTGGGAATGCTCAAACTTCAAGTGGCTGGTATTCTCCATAATTATGACTATGTACCATCACTGTATGAAAGGTCTCACCTGTGATACTGGTGTTATGTTGCGCAATCTCATTGTACTATAACTACTGAAAATAAATTAAGGAAATGATCTGTGGACATGCTTAACTATCTACATTGTTTTGTCCACCTGTCAACTTTTTGTTTTCAACAATTGGTCCTCTGTATTGTAGATACCTCTGTTAATTCTGGTTTTCTTTACGTTACAGAGGACAGCAGCCCATCAGAAGACTCAGTTTTGCTGGAGGTACAGGGATCCATGCGTTCCGTGGATTATGTTCTGTATCGTTCCATTCAGCGCAGTCGTGCAGATTACTGTTTGAGTGTGGACTGTGAGCAATGCTTACATCACCAGCAGAGCCCCACACTTGGCCTTCAGGGACCATTTGAGGAGATCACCACGCCTCGTGCGAAAGGAGGGCGTTCATTTTCTTGTTCCACACCCAACGCTAATGGTAACACCTTGCCCCCAGTGGGAAATGTTATCGCTCGTAGCTGCAACAGGCTGGAGACAGTTGGACGCACATCTGGTCCCTGTTTTCCTGAACTGAGACTAAAGGGGAAAGTCCAAGGGACAGTACGGTGGAGCAGAGGATCTGGGTGTTCCCTCCATCACAACTCACCGTGCCAAACCCCTGACTGTGCTCATCGCAGGTACAGCGAAAATACCCGACCAGCAGCCCTGTGCACGAACATAACTCCACGGATTGTGATTCGCTCCCACAGTGACCCTGGAATCAGCTTGTCTTATAATACAGGTGAGAGTTTATTGGATAAATGTTCCTTTTGTAGAGGACTATAAATTTTGTGATCGCGTCAGTATTTCATTGCATTAACAAAAATGGCGATACTATGGTGCCATTAATAAAGAAGGGAGTAATTAGAGTCAAGGTACCCTGCTGTACACAGTTACAAAAGCTGAAAAAAAGACTTGCGTCCATCAAGTCCAGCTTTTCTAACATCTATTTTTGATGTTGATTCAAAAGAAGGCAAAAACCTCAGTTTTAAGCACTTTCTCTAGGAATCAAAATTCCTTCTTAACCCCAGAATGGCAGTCGGATCTCTCGTTGGATCAAGAACCTGTTACCCCAATATCTCTCAATACCTTGAGCTATAATTACCTGGAGTATTCAAGGATAAAGAGGTCTTCATGGTTTAGGGGTATCCTACTTTCAAGATGCCATTTTTAATCCGGATATAATGCTGGGAATACTGACATAATTCTCTTACTGTCTTCTCAATGGAGTAACAATTCAGCATCACGAAAATGTTGACATTTAAAATTGTAATTGCAAGGTTTTAGGAAAAAAAATGCATTCGAAGATTACTTTCTACGTATCGCTCTTGTACTGATTAGTTACTAGAGCATTCATATCTTGTCTGTCTGTGATGTGCAGAAATCTCAGGAAGTCATGTGTTTCTGCAGGAAATCTACTATCACACAACGGACATTATTGAACAAATGCTGGTCAGATGCTAAAGTTTGGTTAAAAAAAATAAAAAGCATTAATTTCTTGCTCATGTTTGCATGCCTTACATAACCTGCAGCCACGTGATTTGTCCTTTGGCTGTTTGTAATGTTTATAGTGTTGAGCAGGCATAACTGATAAAGAGACACTGATGGGTTTATTTACTGAATGAGGATTGAGAATATTAGGCAAAATAACCAATTTGGAAAAAATAGGCCAAATTTTTACAAGCCTGCAACTTTGTCAGAACATTTGCCATCTCTGTAACTGGATCTACAAATGTACTGGTGTGAACGTGGGCATGCGCAAGCCATCCAGCATCCTGAAATGTAGATATATAAAATGTACTTTATCGTTTCAGGAAGACCCTTGTGTTCTCTGATGGGCTTCCAGGAAAAAAAACCTTTTGTGTATTTGGATGCCGTTATCTACTTTTATTTCTTATGCAGAGAGCGTCCAGGCACACAGATCACACTATCCCTCAGAGTTCTTTTTGGAACAACATGACATGTATGATGGAATTTGTGTTCCTGGACTCTCCATCTAGGTGATTTGCCATCTCCTGAATCTGGAGTACCAGTATATTACTTGAATTAAGTAACCTATAGGATATGTGCAGTCCCTACTGGAGAAATATTTCACTTTCTCAGACAGACAGATCTCAAGATCGATTCATAGCTTGGAAAAGTGCTCACTATGCTGTATCATTTCATATTGGATGGTCTCTAATTTGTCTTCCTTTTTGTTGTTTCGCTTCATTCCGTCTGACCGCCTCCCCCTCCCCCCCAATGTATAATTAAGTATTTTTTCTGTTTTATGCAGATCTACAAGAAGCGGATTATGCCAAGACAATGGAAGATGACATATCTGTGTCCTCCATCGATGCAGGTTTGAAGATATTCTCAAATGTTTTGATAAATGATATCAATAACCTAATCACGTTTAATCGAACAGACTTAAACTCTTACTAATTAAACAAACTGTGGTTTCCTAATTGTCTACATGATCATTTGTTCAGAGGTAGAATTATCCATGATAAACTGCTGAGCCATCTCATTCCTCACCATTCTAGGTCTCTGTTCCGAAGCTTGCTTGTACCAACATGGTTTCCACCAGTCCCCTCGATTACTACGCACAAGCTCAGCTGGGAAGAGTAGGTTCCAAGCAACACGAAGGGCAATGCAAAGACTCTCTAAGAGTGGCGCTCTGTCTCTTGGAGACTTGAAGGGTGGGCGTAGTACCAGAGTCCTCGTGGCTCGATTCCTACATCGTTCTAGACAGAGCTTCAAGGAGGGAATGGAACAGACCAATCAATATCATAAACCGGTAAGAACCCTGTTGCGTAATCTGTATTGACATTACAGTTCCTGTGATATGTGACCAACATGTGGAATCACTTATTAATATTTTGGTCAGGGTCAATTTCAAGAGGCAGAAAACCCATTTTTGTTGCACATTGTAGGAATTGCAAAAATGGATTTTAAAACAAATTGTCAAATGTCTTCTTTATGGGTGTTTGTAAAGAAACCGGTGACATTTCTGGGAATGAAGAATTCTAAAATTCCTTCAAATATGAAAATGTCTATATATGGACATATAGTAATTTGTTCCACCATGCATCTGTACAATATAGTGCATTGCAGATGTTGCAAAATAACCTTTCCAATTATTCCATATTCTGCTTCCTATTTTTCCCCTATAAATCCTATACATTTCCCAATGTAATTCTTCCCTATAACTAGTCTATTTGCTTAATGTAATTCTTCCCTATAACTCCTCCACTTTTTACCTTTCTGTTGAAGGTTCTTAAGAGCCCATTACCATTTGAGCATGAAAGACCTCAAGAACAGATGTCCTTACAAAGTTGTGGAGATCTCAGCACTACATCATCTCTCCGTCGCCTCCTTTCCACAAGTCGGAGGAGGCCCAGACGTCCACAGAGCCTCAATGATACATTCAAAGAGAGTGCAGTTTGAACAAGGTTCCATCCACATAGCAAAGTGCCTCCATGCCTGGTCACACAGGGTTGCACAAGTCTGACTGGCACGGGAGGGTCTGTTTACCACAATAATTACTGCAATGAGTAACCCCTGTACTTCACACGGGGAGGGACTATGTACTCCAAAAACAATTGCACTGATGGACCCTCGTCTCTCGCAGTGGGTAGAGATTGTTCACTCCAGTAATTACTGCACTGAAGATCCCCAATAACTTATAACGGTGAGAGGTAAAATACTGTGTACCCCAATAACTACAGCACTGAGTGGCTATAATTACTCACACAGCAGAAAGGAAGTGCATATCTTAATAATTACAGCACCAAGGACTATGTACCGCAATTATTAAAAGCAACAAGTTACTATCAACCATCCCACAACATGCAGACACTTTACTAGGCCATATTCTCTATGAATTATGTAGGAGCTGGAAATTATGTAGGGCCCTCTGGTCATCTTCAAGTGATCTCTCATATTTATATAATTTAAACGTTTGTTGTACATTTTTGAAGTTCTCCTGGTTTTAAAAGAATTCTTCAGTCCTTCAGCATGTGCAGATGACCAGCGGAATATAGAAACTTTCAAGAGATGGGCATTGGACCTTTATCAAAGATGCTGATGATGACTGATGAACATCTACAGTGTGTAACCCAAAAATCTGGCCCACAAGAAGTGAGAAGATGGAAGACTTTTCCTGCACCAATCTTGTTATGTGATCGGTATCATGATTCTGCTCCGTTACATATTGCTCTTATTGTTGGTTGCTTTGCATGTTAATTTATTGCCTGCAGACAGGTAGATTTTTATGTGATTATGCAACTGTGCCCCCACCAATGTGGTTTATTGTGTTCATACAATGTTAATAAAGATCATATGATACACATGTGTATAGAGTTCATCTAGCTCATTTACCATAGAGAAGACACTCATGGGAGGGTACATTTTTTTTTACAGTGCTATGAGTGGGCACTCAGGGCATTGATACTCATCATTTGGGCAAAGCAAACTCTTGATTGTTGTAAACATAGGAGGCTCTGTGTTGATTGTGTCAGTATATGAGCTGTGTTTTCAGTGAGAAGGAAGTGTTGCAAGTGGGCACTCATGGAGAGACATTCTCTTTTGATTGGGGTGATGGTGAAGTAGGCAGATGTTCACGAAAATATATTTTGGAGTGTGCTAAAGGTCATTGAGGTAGGAACTGTTGTAAGTGGGCACATGTGGGAATATGTTCTGTTGTGTGTGCTGAGTGTGCACTCATAGAATGATATCCTCTGCATTGAATGTTCTAGGTGGAAATCCTCCACTAAACAGTTAATTGTGATGAAGTAATAATGAATTAACAGAATCTGGACCAAAAATGGTCCTAATTTTGCCATGTGTTTTTAGTTCCATGGGAATATTTAGGGAAGAAACCCCAATGCAGATTTATTGAGCTTGTTTGTGTTTATCAATACATACTGTGCTCTCTAAATCAGGCAACATTGACTTCATCCAACACTGCATAATGCCATACAACAACCACAACAACTCTGAATACCACAAAATTGGTGGGTACCATGTGGCCAGCCTAACCGGAAAGCTTGTTTGTGGTCCTATAAAACAGATGTGGTTATGTAAAGGAAGAGCGATCCAATACACAAATTTCTCGGAACTATGACTGTATTATAATAATGGTGGTTATAAGGGATATCACATTTGACCCACTTGAGTTGTAAGTTGCATGACACATGCGGGATGGGAGAGATACAGAGACCTCAATGCTTCATGTCACTAGTTACTCCATGTGCACTAGGCATGCAAAGCAGCCAATTAAGGCTATCTGTGCGCAGAACGTTGCTGAAACACTAGCACAGGGTCAGGAATGCTCTGAAATAAGGTTGCAGTTAATTATGAGGACCTTTCAATAGTTAAAGTGATGGTGGGACAGAAATCTAAAATCAGGATTGTCCTGCATGATGCGCATATTGTGCTAATCCAGAATCACTTGCACTACCAGGCTGCTTTATTAATATTTGATCCCTGTAGCAGGCTGTGTTCTAATAAGTGATATTGCACGTGACCCCCATGGCCGGATTAAGAGCCCAGTGGGCCCAGCGCTGACAATTATGATGGGCCTGTGATGGACCGCCTGGCACAGTGACCGAGTACCTCCGTCAATCGCTGCTTCCTAGTACTTGCGAGCACCATAAGCATTGCACTGGAACACCATAACCACTGTAAACCCCACAAACTGCCGCAGCTTGATTGGAGTCCTTTTGTCCTCCACCTACCCTGCACCCAAGACCAGGATCTAGCTTCCAGTGGGTAGACCTCTATTAGTCCAGAGAGCAAAGCAAGTTGCTCTTATGAGAGCAAATGTTGTGATCCAAGGGAGTATAGTGATTATAGCAATCCCCAGAGTGTGACTATAGCTCTCCAATCCCCCAAACATGAGCGTAGACTTCACGAAGGGTAAAACAAATCTCAGTTTAATGTTAGCCACAACTGGCCTTTTATGACAGTCCCCATGCAAGGGGCACTCCCCCCTGGACCTGAGAGTAAACCACAGTAGAAACAAATATACATTAACATTGGCTCTCAGATCCAGGACACGCCCATACAAAATAGGTCAATCCCTCCTCTATGCCTGGGAGGTAATTGAGTCAAGCAATATATTAAACTCAATTATCTCCAGGCACAAAAAACACACATTTTTACAAACCCACCAAAATACCTTAGAAATACACAAAACCCCCACAAAAGTTACATCCCCCGATAGCCCTGATCTGGGTGACTAACATATCCAAAAATCACCCAGATCAGTTCAGGGGTTCAGGAATTTCCTGGAAGTCTTATTTTTGACCGACTGCACGCATGATCCAATGCCCAAAACCGTTCTAGAGAATCAGGGCTTGCGGTCGGTCTAGTTCGGTACTTGGAAAACTTTGAAAAAGTCAATGATCTTACCCTGGAGCTTGTCCAGACGAATGGTTTCACTGAACAATGCCCTTCTAAATTGTATAGAAGTCCAGCGGTGTTCGGGAGTTTCTGTGTCCGATTTTAGTTCCCAAATACCGCTGCCTGCGTTCATGTGAACAAGATGGCCGCCACCTCGTGGTTGTACATTGGAATTGCGCCCATCCAGACAAACAATTAGAACACTGCGGTAAGAACCGCTCTAAGGTGTTAATAGGTGTTAACAAGTTCCCAGGTGGTCCCTGGTTCAGGTGGTTGTTCGGTAGTCAAACAGGACAATGTAAGAATAGGAGGGGAATGCAAACTACAGAAGAGAGTAGCAAAAAAAGCACAAACAAGGTCTTTTATGAGCCTTTTTGCATGGCCCATGGTCCTGAGGCAGGAGGCTGGCAAACAGGCCCCTCCAAGAACATGTGACGAGGCTCAGTTCGTCATAGGGCCCAGGTACAGAATTCTATCAACAGAAGACACTAAAACAGTTGTACCTCCCAAGCTTTATGTATCAGGTGGAGGCATAGGCGTGCGCAGCCTATTGTATAAGAGTGTGCACCCTAAAGCAGAAACACACATGCCGCGTTGTGGTGGAATCTCGGTAAAAATAAATTTAGTAGGCCGAGATTACCACGTGGCATGTGTACGTGCATATGCTGACGTATCGATCAGTTGGTTGCACGAGGCAAGATACGATCAGTAGTGTACGGAGCATGTGCAAGAATACAGGATGTAGTATTCCCCTCCTCCATTGTGCTGGACAAGCCATGCGGTCAAGCAGGAAGTTAATTCTTATTTGTAATGATTGGTCAAGAGAATGTGCGGGTGGAGCTTAATATGGGAGGAGTTATGTGCCTATATAGGGAGCCTGCACTATTGTTCAGGGCTCAGAACTTGCTGTATTTTTGGTGACATTAGTCCCTCTGAGTCCCGATCGGTGATCCAATAAAGAATCTCTTCCTTCCTGAAGAAACCTGTGTCCATCCCTCTGTGCTTTGCTTCCGTCAGTTTCTCCGGTATCATTTGGTGCATTGGCCGGGAAGCTCATCGTTCAACGGTAGCTGAGAGGCAGAGGCGTGAGACGGTCTATCTTTGCCCACGTTCTCTACGGCTGCACCCCTGAACTTCTGCGTGGACCTCCCTTCGTCTCGGCGCCACTGGTCTGTTGTCCAGGAGATCATCGGCCTCTACGTAAGAAGTGCTGGGGTGTCCCCGTCGATGAGTGTGAACTCAGGTTCAGGAACGAGGAGGTAAGACAACTGCTGTTTTAGACGGCAGACCCACTAGGGGTATACCGATTGTGCGGTAGGCCCAAAGGGGTTTAAATCTGTGTATGGAATCTGCCCCCTCTGTCGGAGGGAAGGAGCGAAGGCGCACCGCTCGATCGAACGCTCTTTAGTAAGACCGTTTGATCTGGTTAGTCAGGCGGGGTCCTGTGTAAATAGCCCTAGCCGGACACCGGTGTCTTGTCTAGACTAGCGTTCTAGGGTGTATATTACGTTCGCTAGGTCGGAGGGACCGGGAGACTAAGCGGCGCCTGTGTAAATTCGGTTCGCTAGCTCTCAACCTATCTTGGCTAAGTGGGAAGGCGTGTAAATTTGGAACCCACTAGACTTTTGATAGAGTAAATAGACTAGAAGGGCAATTTTGTAAATTTCGCCCTCTAGTTCGCTATATGTGGTGTTTGGGCAGTGTGGCTAACCAAAACGGGTGTATATAGTTTTAGGTAGTCCATTCAAGGTACTGGCCAATAGTTTAGTTGGGATTGTAAATGTGTTAAAGATTGTTAGTAAAGTGTATATCTTGTTAGATAGCGCGAGCTCAGCCGTCTAGCGAGAGTGTTAATAGTGTGTTGCTGTATCATAGTGCACGGTACCATAACCCTGTATATTTACTGACACTGTATATAAGTACTAATCATTGTCGTCTATTGCATGTTTAACACCGTAACCACTAATAATTGTATTGTGACCTTAAATTGTGCTTTGACCTATGCTAACCGTACTGTAACCGATACTAGTAAAAGACGATGTTACTGGGGTGTGTTATAGACGGGTAATTCATATATAGAGAATTATAGCGTGGGTGACTGTATAGTTTCGCCAAAGGGCATAATATTGATTATTTAGTGACTGGTGTAACAGCTGTGTGTGTACGGGAATTCCCTGAGTGATTATTGTGTTATTGTGTACGTTTCACTCGGTAACTGTACCACGTGGTGCTGTTGCCAGAGGAAACGGGTGTGACTGTTGAATAAGAACGCGTGCATAGTATTCGTTGTCAACGACGTTCCATTGATAAGTATGGGCGCGTCAGAGTCAACGATTTCGGATCCCTTAGGTTGTATGGTAAAGAATTTTAAAAAGGGATTCAAAACATGTGATTTTGGGGTTAAAATGTCTCCTGTACGTTTGGTCACTTTGTGCACTAGGGAGTGGCCTATTTTGGTTGCGGCATGGCCGCCGCGTGGCAGTTTGGATCCAACCCTGGTACAGCGTGTACACGTGGCTGTGTCAGGTAGGCCTGAACTTTACGGACAGTTTCCATACATTGATTGTTGGGGGCAGGCCGTAAACGACTCGCCAAAATGGATCCGGATATGCCACGAGGAGCAATGTCGCCTCATGGTGGCCAGGACTTGTTTGTCCACTAGGACTGGTGTTAGGCCCATTTTGGACACGCCCCCTGAGTCCGAGATCCCTTTGCCGCCTCCTTACTTTCCTTTAAGAGGAAGTGACGCGAATGCAGGAAGCTCTGCACCCCTTCCCCTATTGCCCCCATCCACTTCCGCTTCCTCCTCCAGTACAGAATCCACCCCCCCTCGTATTAAAACTCCCCTTCCGGAACCAGGACCAACCCCCATTAGATTTGAATATCCTGATTTGGCGCCACTTCAAACT